TCAAACTAAAACTAATCAGAAGAGATAAAGAGGGCCACTTCATTCTGATCAAAGGAACAATTGACCAAGAAGATATTACAGTCATGAATATATATTCGCCAAACTCTGGTGCACCCAACGTCATAAAAACAGCACTACGGAACTTTAAGAACCAGATTAATACCAGCTCATTAATAGTTGGGGACTTCAAAACCCCATTGTCTCCATTAGATAGTCAACAGGACAGAGACTTAACAGAGAGACATCTGAACTAAACAGTACCATACATCAAATGGGCCTAACAGACATCTACCAAGTATTCCAGCCAAGCACCAAAGAATATACTTTCTATTTAGCATCCCATGGAGCTTTCTCCAAAACTGACTGTATAGTGGGTCACAAAACAAGACTCAACAAATAAAAAAAGACTGAAATATTTCCATACATTCTATTAGATCACAATGCAATAAAGCTTAAAATCAATACTTGGAGAATCCCTAGTGACAACATGAACACCTGGATATCAACAACACACTCCTGAATGATGAGTGGGTCAAAGGAAAAATTGAAAAAGAAATAAAAGTATTTCTGGAACTAAATGAAAAAGATGATACAACACAACAAAACCTCTGGGACCCGTTGAAAGCAGTCTTTAGAGGGAGCTTAATAGCTCTAAATGCCTTCATTAAAAAATCAGAAAGAACACAAAAAAATGATTTAATATTGCAAATCAAGACACTTGAAAAGCAACAACAAATGAAACCAAAACCCAGCATACAAGAAGAAATAACAAAAATCAGAGCAGAAATTAAGGAAATAGAAACAAAGAAAACAATACAAAGAATCAACGAACCCAAGAGCTGGTTCTTTGAAAAGATAAACAAGATCAGCAGATGCCTAGCCCAGTTAACCAAAAGAAAGAAAGCACCTCCATTTCAACAAAATCAGAGATGAAAGGGTGAACATCACAACAGACACCTAAAAAGATCCAGAACATTATAAGAGAATACTTTAAAAACTTATACGCTACTAAATTTGAAAACCTAAAAGAAATGGTAGGGTATCTAAAAGCAGGGCAACATCAAAACTGAACCAAGAAGAGATCAACAGCTTAAACAGACCCATAACATAACACACAATGAAATTGAAACAGTAATACACAAATCTCCCAGTTAAAAAAAGCCCAGGACCAGATGGATTTATAGCAGGATTCTACCAGATATTTAAGGAAGATCTATATCCAACACTGCTTAATTTTTTCAAATATACAGAAATGGAGGGAGCACTTCCAAATTCCTTCTATGAAGCCAGCACCACCCTAATACTAAATTGAGGTAAAGATATAAGCAAAAAAGAAAACTACAGACCCATAGCCTTAAAGGACATAAATGAAAAAATTCTCAACAAAATACTTGCAAACCGCATAGAGACCCACATCACAAAGATTATCCACCATAATCAAGTCAGCTTTATTCCAGAGATGCAGGGATGGTTCCATACATGCAAGTCAATAAACGTCATAAATCACATAAATGGACTCAAAGACAAAAACCACATAGTCACCTCAATAGATGCAGAGAAGGCCTTGACAAAATTCAACATGCATTTATGTTCAAAGTCCTGGAGGGAATTGGAATGGAGGAAATAAACCAGAACATAATTAAGGGATATACAACAGACCCACAGACAACATCATTCTAAATGGAGAAAAACTGGAAGCATTAAAAATCAGTAACCGGACAAGGCTGTCCACGATCTCCACTCCTTATTAATATAGTTCTTAAAAGCTCTTGCAAGAGCAATGAGACAAGAGAAAGAAATTAAAGGAGTAATAATTCTAAAAGCAGAGATGAAATTATCCCTTTTTGAAGATGATATGATATTATACCTAAGAGATGCCAAAAATTCCACCAGAAAACTCCTAAAAATGATTAACACTTTCAGTAAAGTGGCAGGTTACAAAATTAATATACAAAAGTCTGTAGCCTTTCTATATACCAATGACAAGTAATCAGAGAAAGAGTACATGGAAACACTCCCATTCACAATAGCTGCCAAAATAAGTGAATAAATAAATAAAATATCTCAGAAAAAAACCTAACCAAAGACATTAAAGACCTCTACAATGAAAATTTTAAATCTTTAAAGAGATTGAAGAAGACATCAGAAGATGGAATGATCACCCATGCTCATGAATTAGAAGAATTAGTATTGTGAAAATGAGCATTCTACCAAAAGCCGTTTATAGATTCAATGCAATTCCAATAAAAATCCTCATGACATTCTTCACAGAATTGAAAAAAAAAATCCTAAGATTCGTATGGAAGCACAAAAGACTTCAGATAGCCAAAACAACCCTGAGCACTAACAGCAACATTACTATACCAGACTTTAAACTGTATTACAGAGGTATAGTCATAAAAACAACATGGTACTGGAACAAAAATAGACCCGTAGAACAATGGAACAAAATTGAAGACCCAAATATGAGTACATGAAATTTTAGCCAACTGATATTTCACCAAGGGGCCAAGAACATTCACTGGAGGAAAGACAGCATGTTAAGCAAATGGTGCTGGCAAAACTGGATCTCTACCTGTAGAAGAATGAAACTAAACCCCTATTTTTCACTTTGAAAAAAAAGTCAACTCCAAATGGATCAAAGACCTCAGTGTGAAGCCTGAAACTCTGAAACTGTTATAAAAAATCATTGGCAATAACCTACAAGATATAAGAGTAGGAAAGGATTTTCTAAACTAGACATCAGTTGCTCAGGAAACAAGGTCAAGAATCAACAAACGGGTCGTCATTATACTAAAAAGCTTTTGTACATCAAAAGAAGCAACCAAGGAAAACCCACATAGTGGGAGAAAATCTTCACCAGCAACAAATCTGACAGAGGTTAACATCGAGAGTATATAATGAACTTGAAAAACAATGAGTCAAGAAAGGAAGTAACCCAATTAAAAGATGGGCTAAGGAGCTTAACAGAGGCTTCTCAAAAGAAGAAATGAAGATGGCTAAGAAGCATCTTAAAAGGTGTTCAACATCATTAGTAATTAGGGAAATGTAAATTAAAGCCACTTTAAGAATTTATCTTACCCCTGTCAGAATGACTAAGATGAAGAGAACAAATGATACCAAATGTTCAGGAGGAGGTGGGGAAAGGGGAACACTCATCCACTGCTCATGGGATTTCAAACTTGTTCAACCCCTATGGAAAGCAGTGTGGAGAACACTTAAAAAAAATTAAAATGAACCTACCATTTATCCCAATTGTACTGTTTCTGTATGAAACAGTATATTTTAATAATGAAATGGAGATCTCTTTTAAAGGTTAAAACCAACCTCACATAATTTTATGTCATATAGTGTTTATACTGAGTACAATATTGTATAAATGTATTAATTCAACTGTAAAACTAAAAATTTACAGCCAACTTTGAAAGAGACATATCTTAGCTCTGGAAATTGTTACTGAATATGTTAGTGCTGTTGTAATGAAGTGCTTCCTCTAATTACTTAATTACTAAATAAATGACAATTTTA